AAATGTTATATCCGAAAAGCTTGAAGGAATCTCATCAACAACTTGTTGGTTCACACATTCGAAATAATATCCATCACTAAGGATACATTCCTAAGAAAAATCAAGAAAAAAACCATCAAATCATTACACACGAATATAAAAACATGGAAAAGATAGAGAGAAAAATAAGCATTACTGACGACCTTAATTTCAATTTCTTCCAAATTTGGGGAACTTCGTACATTGCAAGTAATAAACGAAAGCTAAAAAACTCTCCAAGAGTAGTCCAACATATGTAAAGGTATTTCAGACAGTTAAGACCTGATAGAAGCCTTTTTGGTATAAGTTCAGTTGATACATTATCCAACTACATATAAAATGACAAAATCAGGATTACTCAAAGTCAAAATAAAAGTACACATAAAAATGCATTACCATTAAGTTAAATGAAGGAACATTACCCCAAAAAGATCCCAGCTGAAAGACTCAAGAGCAGGGATAGAGGAAAAAATACTGAGAAAATCATCTTCATCCTCTAGAACAAATTCTCTAGGCGCATACAAAACATTGGGAATAACAGGAATATTTTCAAGATATATCAATTGTATATCGCAAGAAAAGACAAATGACCTTAGATTAAGAGCAGTAATACTTATGAGGTACAGATTGTCTGTCTTTTAGCACCAAATCCTCAAGAAACGGGTTATTAGAGATCAAACTTTCAAACGTATTAGTAGATAATGTGACATATTTAAATTTTACCCTAATCAACATACTAAATCCCTAAAAGAAACATGGAAGTTGTATTTTAGATTCCATGAAATACAAATGCCACAATGCTGAACAATAGAAAAAGAAGTTGGGCAACCTATATAGAGGATAAATAAATGGAAGTTTAAGGACAAAATGTTGAATGTGATCAACATTAGGACACACTATTATACTAATAATATTGAAGGTGACCTTCAGTATTATTCTTCTATGAAACCTGAGGAAACTATCAAGAATCGGAATAAATGCAATGGTAGGGGATGTCAAGTCCTCGGGTGTTTTCCACACTATTTGATCAAACTTCAGATGTGGAATTCTCCAGCAAATATATTGTCAGTCCTTCAAAAGTGTAGTAACTCTTACAACATCTCGAAAAGACAACCTACTTAGAATCTCTTCGATTAAATGAATGTTAAGGTTCTTAAGTCGATCAGGAGAAGGTAAACTAAGACATTGTTCATCCGGAGGAATGATAATCTGTAGAAAATAAATAAAAGTAAGATAGGTAAGTTCAATGTACACTCTACACGAACAACAAATAAACATATCATAACTCTAAGATTAAAAGAAAAGGTGCATAATAGGAGGCAAATGTAACCTTTTTCCATGTTTAAAAAATGCAAAAGAAATTATTAGTAGCTGACATTTGCATTGATATATTTAATCTGCAACTCTTGATATAAATTTGTTTGGCTTAGGTTAAATCAAACACATATCAAGTATTTGTGTATAGAATTTGAAAAAAACTTAGACGTTTAAATTAGTGATTTTATACTTATTGTACTAGAAATTTATAGTATTGAGTGCTAAAATCAAAATACTATAGGAATGGCATGTGTTTGTTTGACCGTATATTTAACTCTGGTACAACTAATACTAGTATTACAATTAACTTCTTTTGGGATATATGACCCTGAACACTTGATCTACATGAAGCATAAAATATTATTTTAGTGAACTACACACTTAATTTCAATATTTTGGTGAAACATAATAAAAAACACATTCTGAAATTTTAATTTTTGTATAAGCTATTAATAAGAACACAAAAATCATGAGAAATGGTATTATTTTGTAAAACCTAAAACCATCAAGACTTGAATGATAAATCAGATTCCTATAAATTTAAAACAAAATATTGATAGGTGAAAAAGGTGATATTCGTTATCCAAGACTAAGCCATAAGTCCATATGCCTTTAGCCTATATTTTCTCAAGAAAACATAATTAGAATTACACAAATATTTTACTTTTTCTTAATAGTTTAATTTTTTTTAAAAAAAACTACAAATCTTAGGAGGAAACAAGAAATAACTAATTTTGTTGCTGCCATTACACAATGAATTTAGGTACACCCATCATCATAGTATACTATTGTTCTTTTTTTAAAAAAAAATACTTTTATTATTATTGTTTTACTTAGGTTTATTCATAGGATTGCTCTATGCCTTTAAAGATTAGGCATATGTCTTAGGCTCCAAAAAATTTAAAGGCCTAATGTTTTAGTAACAATAAAATTATCGTAAGCTTTTTGTAGCAAAAAAATGAATGTTTTAATTTGTATGGAACTCTTTTATATTGATCAATTTTAAATTTAACCTCCACATGATATGTTTAAGACCACAAGATTAAAAAAAATTGGTATATATATAACTTTAGTTTAATATAATAAAAATAAAACTATTTTTATTAAAAAGAAAGAAATAACTGGAATTTCACATAAAAATAAAAAATTGTAAAAATTCGTCCTCAAACTTATTTTTAGCTTTAGGACACTATCTAGCTTAAGCCATCACTAAGTTTTTTTTTTTATCAATTATGTGTACTAACTGTTGAAGGAAACTTGACGAGTGATGGGACACGTCGAAGGAACAGGTCCATCGAAGTAGACTGATGAGTTAGAGTTAGACTCCTACTAGGATTAGACTACTAAATCTTAAGTTACGTACGACTAAGCTATTGAATATTATAGGAGTCAACAAGGATAATGTATTTGACTTGTAATACAATACTACTCATGTAATTATTTGTATTGTAGTAGGATTCCTAGTATAACTAGAATAGGACTCTTCGCCTATATAAGGAGATTTTAACTCAACATTATAATAATCAATACATCCTTGATTTCTACACACTTTCGTGAGATTTATAAGTTGTATCTGACAAATAAAGTTTTTTCTGCTATTTAACGTATTAGATCAAAATAAACTTAAGACAATGAATTATCTTATATGGAGGACACAAATGACTTAGTTGATTCAAGTGATGAGATTAACCTAAATTATCACAGAACCAAGTTGAGCGACCTGTTTCAATGGACAGACTACTGAGAAAAGTGTAATAGGCGAAAGGGTGCAGAAGACAACAACACTGTTGATGATTGGGAGGATAAGGATATGTTACGAAGGAGTTGGATATAGGGCACCTTGACAGAAGAAAGCATGTACCTGATTGTAGTCTACTCAACTGCCACGGAGATGTGGGAATTCTTGGGAGAAAAATATTTTCAAGCAACTAAAGATAAGAAGTTCCAAATAAAGTAACAACTACAAAGTGTGTGTAACGACCTGTTTAGTCGTTTTGAGCAGCAGATTTTATTTCTGGAAAAATTGGCTAAGACGACAGATCCCACGACGGACCGTTATGGGCATGACGGACCGTCACAGTCTGCGTAACCTTGACTGGGTCGGATTTCAGTTTAATATTTTAAGGGGCGTTTTGGACTATTCCTGCTTATAATTATAAAGTTAGTGGTTGAATATTAATAATCCAATTTCTTGAGGGTTAAAGGAGATAACCTTGAATTAATTAGTGGGTTACTTTTGTCATCTTTTATACTTAATTATATGCTAATTAGGGTAAAAGAAAAAGGGTTGAATAAGAAATATAGAAAGAACAGAGAGAGAAAGGGAGAAACGATCGATTGAGAGAGGGACAAGAAGAAAGCAAAGATTTTGAGGATTAGCTTTCTTGATCACAATTCTTCGGTGGAGCTAGGTTATGGTTTTTATGTTATTCATAGTAAAATTTTAATAGCGAATGATATGTGTTGGGTAGAATTGTAAAGTCTTCTATATGCTTAATTGTGTGCTTGCATGATGTAATTATGTAATTGTAATGGGTTGGAAAGATAAGGTTGTGAACCTTAAATCTAAAACTCTGTCTGTTAATGATGATGCCTTGATATAAAAGAAGGCTCGATAAACAAAAAGAATGAGGTTAGGGGATCGGGTGTCACGAACCGACACGTAGTAATAGGGGGATCGGGTGTCACAAACCGACACGTTGTAATAGGGGATCGGGTGTCACGAACCGGCACGTAGTAATAGGGGATAGGGTGTCATGAACCGACAGT